TAAAATCATGTGAATTAAGTAAGAAATAGTAAAATGAGATGAGTACCAATTAAGTTCCTTATGTATTCATAAAAATGATAATAATAATATAAGTAATGGTAATAGTACATCAACTTCATTGACTATGAGAAAGCATATGATAGCGTGGACAGAACAACACTATGGAAGCTTCTTCGACACTACGGCGCGTCTCAGAAGATAGTCATTATCATAAGGAATTCCTATGATGGGTTAAACTGCAGAATCGTGCATGGAGGACAGTTGACAAACTCATTCAAAGTAGAGACCGGTGTCAGGCAAGGTTGCTTACTTTCACTCTTTCTCCTTCTCCTGGTGATCAACTGGATCATGAAGACGTCAACATTTGGGGGAAAGAGTAGGATACAGTGGACATCTAGGATGCGGCTGGACGACCTAAACTTCGCAGATGATCTAGCCCTTCTATCGCACACGCAACAACAAATACAGGAGAAGACGACCAGTGTAGCAGCAGCCTCAGCAACAGTAGGTCTCACCATACACAAAGGGAAAAACAAGATTCTCCGATACAACACAATATGCAACAATCGCATCATACTCGACGGAGAAAATTTGGAAGATGTAAAAACCTTTACATATCTGGGCAGCATTATTGATGAACACGATGCACCTGATGCATATGTGAATGCGCGGATCGGCAAGGCAAGAGCAGCATATTTACAACTGGAGAACATCTGGAACTCAAAACAACTGTCAACCAACACTAAAGTTAGAATTTTCAAGACAAATATCGAGGCAGTTCTATTGTATGGGGCCGAAACCTGGAAAACCACGAAAGCCTTTATCCAGAAGATATAGGTGTTTAGTAACAGTTGTCTACGCAAAATACTTCTAATCCATTGGCCAGACACTATCAACAACAACCTACTGTGGAAAAGAACAAACCAGATCCCAGTGGAGGAAATCAGGAAGAAGCGCTGGAAGTGGATAGGACACACATTGAGGAAAGCACCCAACTGCATCACAAGGCAAGCCCTCACATGGAATTCTCAAAGCCGAATGAGGAGAGAAAGACCAAAGAACATATTACGCCGAGAAATGTAGACAGACATGAGAAAAATGAACGAAAATTAGACAGAACTGGAAAGAAAGGCTCAGGACAGAGTGGGTTGGAGAATGTTGGTTGACGGCCTATGCTCCATTGTGGGTGACAGGCATAAGTAAGTAAGTAAGTAAGTAAGTAAGTAAGTAAGTAAGTAAGTAATGGTAATGGAGTGATACGTGAATAATGATAATAATAGCATTGAAATAAGATAAACTGATGTTAATAAAAATGATAAAAAGGGAGGTAAATATGTTCGTTAAAACTATAAACATCTCAATTCCGGATTATTCAGTACAAACAGGTTACGTAACTCGTATGAATCAGTTGTTTTCACTTGTCTACGGTGTTAGTAAACAACTCCCAAAATGTGTTCAACTCACAATTCTTTTAATGATAGAAGTAATAACCACATAGATTAAAATATCTGCTCTTGGCGTACAGAAGAAGCAAGTTAAACTTCTTTTCTTAACTCGATCGGCCTCAAGTCAAGTAAATCAACAGTAAGCTTAATCATAAATTGTCATATATATGCCTATGTATATTTATGAGTGTGTTTGTGTATTCGTATTTTTTTGAAAGTTGATCAATTCATCAGTAAAATACATTTATTCGTATGTTTCACTATATTCGTTTTTGAGTTAAAATCTTGTTGTCTACCGCATGAATATTTACTAAATTATATAATTATTATCATTCCGATCATTACTTGACCAATTTCTAATTTGTAACAATCTTTATACTTTGTATAAATACTTGAGGTCATCCAACCTAAGTTTGGTACGAGTCATATGAATTGCTACATTGAGTCCAGTAATCTAAATGTATGTATGAACGAACGAATAAATGAATGAATGAAGAGAGAATAAATATTTTGTATTGTTGGCCTGTTATTTACAAATTTGTTTAGCTTTACTATTGTACAGTTGGTATCTACTTATATCCAAGTATTTATGCTGTCTGTTATTATCATTACTATCATTAGTATTATTGTTATTATTTTACATCATTTGTGAAATCTTTATTTTCATAGGATAATAACAAAACATTTTATCATCATAATTTCGAACAACTCAATTCCAATCAACACCACGATCATCATAGTAATAAGAACAATAATAATATTAGTATTGTTGTGACCGAAGAACTCAAATGGGGAAGACCAAATTATTGTTCGGCAAAAAATTAGTGTTTTCGTAATTCATGAAAACCATACATTAAATACTTCATTCGCTAATCTCCCATCAATTGTCCTTTACATCCTTCATAATTCTTTAAATTCTTTTCTGTTCTCTTCAGTTCAATCTTTTCAATCTGCTTTTGACAAGCATTCCACTTCTGGTTGGTGTTACATACTACATACATCTGCCAACATAAGTAACATAGATCATATTACTATTAGTGAACTTGTTATATTGAAATTTTTATTTAAATGTTAAAAATACACCCTCACCCAACCAGAAATCCTAGGTGTTTCGTGAACTGACAATTTCAATTTTTATCATTCAGGCGTCGAAAATCTTCCATAAGTCTGAAATTCACATTTTCTACCATAACTTTCTCTTATCGGCTACTTAGATAATTTAATCCCGAGTTACATGATATCACTTACTAATGATCAGTTCTCGATATTAAACAACCATTTTTCCATGTCATTGTTGGGTAATTGCCTCACATCCAACAACGTTAGACTACACTGGTCACGGGTTTGCACTAGAACACTGAGAATTACCTCTCAAAATTAGCCACTAGTAAACACATGATTATTATTAGCATAAGGAGTTTATGGAGAATGTTGAATTTCACAGTTTATATCACTAACTGACCTTAGTTAAATAACCAGTAGAAGCCATAAAGTCCTATGGAAGATTTAATTACCTACAGATGATTTCCTAAATAAGTCCCTTGGCTACTGAATTGTTTGACCCGAAAAGCTTTATGCACTTCTAAAACAGAAATCAATACGATCGATTAGAGGGAAAAAGGAAGCGACGAAAATGCCACACACCGAATAGTTACTAAAGAATACAAAGAATGAGTCAGAGAGGTTTAATCTTGTTGTTAAAATATTGTACAAGTCTTTGATTAACAAGGAGACAAAGTATAATCACAACAAGGTGATATATCTTGTTGTTTGAATGCTACTTTTTATACCTGGTCGTCACTGATTTTGTGTCAGAAACGCTTATCACTTATACTCGAAGCGAGATACATCGGCAATTCCCACGACGCAAAAGTAAAAATACAAAGACCGGTATAAGTGAAAATTTATTAACCCCCAAAACACGACGACGAGCCTAGTAGAAAATACACTCATTTATATATTGATTGTGCACCCATTTTGATTAATAATTAGGATGAAATCACATGTATAAAAAATACTCAGTTATGACAAATCACATACTAAGCATAGTTCATGTCAACTGAATACACGAATATCGTATATTATACAAAATATGATATCATACGAGAAAACGAAACAAATACTACATTGAATAATCACTACATTGAATCAAAACTGATGTAATGATGAATAAAACTCATATTGAGTAAATCAATCGAATATCGACTTTTCTTCCCGTCATATCATAAGGTCATAGATACAAGCTTGTAAAGTTAACCAGTAACAAGGCAACTTTTCAGAATAAACGGATTCGATATTAAAACGTATACTTCTGCTCCTACCATTATTGACAATAAAATAATCCAACTATCCGGAGTAGAGTATGTGGCTAACATAAAATCATCTATTTGAACTATAAAAATCCTCTTTACTACTTAACCAACATTATAAATTATAAATTCTTATAACTTTTTAAAAATATATATAACTACTTCGTTTCATCTTTTAGTCTATTTCCCTGTAACAGTATGATAAAATCATTAACCTCATTATAAAGAAAATCTCTTAAAAAGAACACTTATAGTATTTCATGTGTAGTAGTGAAAGTTATGTACAATTGATCACTGAGTGTGGACAAACAGGCACCTAAACTACTATCAATCAAATGTGATTTCCTTTCCTTTTATTGATTTTTATTTAGAACTCACTGAAAGTAACTGCTTGTAATTGTGTAGAATAAGGTATTGTCTAGTTTATACTGTAGTTCTCTATTCACAATTATGAATCCTGGATTTGATATACCATGATCTAGTCTGTATATAACGGATTATTCGAGTATCCAATCTAGAGGTAGCATAAACTCAATCACCCAAGTTAATTATATAATCACATCATAGCATAACATATAAACAAAAAAGCTATTTTAAATTTATCAATTATATCAATCCATTTTTTTTCATTGGTAAAAATTTTGATCACCAATTCAATGAAAAATCATTGAACAAATCAATAATTTAAACAACATTTATGTAATTCATAAATCTTGTTATACAACTAGTATTATTATTATTATTATCTTTAAAAAACAAAACAAGAAAGGGGGGAGAAACAAAACAAAACAAAATCTTCAAATTGTACATGATAATTTGTAAATAGAATAGTTACCTAGGAAAGAAAAAAATTTATTTCATTTGATTTATTCATCTCTATATTGAATCTTCATTGAAATGTATACTTAATTAAAAATTAAACATTGAACAATAAAATAATGAAACAACTATATATATATATATATATATATATATAACCAATAGTAATCATATTATAATTATGTTTTGTATTGTTTTATTCCTTCTTTCCTCCTTTCCTTCTTTCTTAAGTTAGTACACTATTTACTTTACTATTTATGTATAGTAAAAAGCAGAAGTTCAATCAATTGAAATAGGATAAAATAGAGGAATTAAAGTATGATATTATTTATAAATAAATAATGATAAAGGGGATTTCACTGTCATGGATATTTTTTTTGCTGTTGTTATTATTGTTATTATATATATATATATGTAAAAATGAAATATGCATGGAATGTATCATTTTAATATTTTTGTACTGTTAAAAGAAAACATCAGCTAACTTTGTATAAAAATGATGATGAGAAACAGAATGGAATGTGAGTATTTCTTTAAAACTTTTAATTGAAATGTTGTGTCACAATCTTTTTTTTCTCTCTCTCTCTCCCTTTTATAATATTAGGCAAGATTGGCCGAATTCTAGCGGTAGGAACTAAAATATAAAAAAAGAAGGAAAGAGAAAAAGGGAAATTATATGTATAAAAATGAAAGATAGGTATTAAATTTTTGTTCAGTGGAAATTTTATGCTAATCGAATAATGTTAGTAGAAATATTATTTGTATAGAAGGCTTGAGGAGATTATAGAATTTTGTAGTTTAGATTACACATTGACCACTAAGAACTATAAAGCGTTGAACAGTCATTTAATCCTAATGTGGAACTTCTTCTATGACAACATCGAGGGATCTAAAAAAGGCCTTCATATCTTAACCGTTAGACTACTGAGTCTACATTCAACGGTTTATATTTTTAACTCCAGTCGATTTAGGATATTGTATAACCATCTAATGCCATTAGTGAGTGCTCAACATTACTCTTAATAATAATAATAATAATAATAATAATAATAATAATAATAAAACTCCATTGTCGAATAATCCCATACTAGAATGAAACGGCTTTCCAGTGCTTCCTAGTTTTCAATGGTTGTCGAAATAATGGTAGTAGAAGTAGTTTTACTTAAAAAATATCAAGCCAGTGAGTAACTCTTCCATCATACAGTTAGAGTATTTGGACGGAGTATCAAGAATAAAGTTTACTCTACAAAAAAAATAAATTCAATTTTGTCTGACTAATTGTTAAACAAATATATTTTGAATTATTAGTTATTCAGTATTTGTTCATTTAGGGGTAAATATTTTCTTTCAATAACGTACCTGGGATAGTTGAATAGTTTTTTGATGAGACAAGAATAGTGTTATGTGGGGGGACTTTGGAGGTGTTGAGTCCTCTGCGCTGAATGTTTTGACTGAGCGTTTCCTTTTTAATATCTCAGGTAAAATCATCAGGGACTACTTTGAAAGACTTTCGATTAAATTATTCAACTCAGAGAACGTAAACCCCTCGAAAGCTTAGTGATTACCAATAGTCAATCAGTTTAAGCTCTAGATTTGAACTTCATGCTGGTTGATATTCATATGAATTATTAGTTCCTTTAAGATCTTATCGACTCCATACTGATGATGAGGAAATAATACGAAGCCCTATCGACTAACTCTAACTTCCCAACATAAAAAATCAGTATACCGGATATCAATTCACTCGGACTAGCTGTTATATTGCAGATTGGTCGATAGAAATCCATTAATACTAAGAACCACACCATTACTCCAACAGTATTAACAGAAATAATATTTGTGTTTCCTCTAATAATAATAAATAGGGGTATTTGAAAAGAGCACAAAATTAAATTTTATTGATTACTTATTCTTCGAATTATATTTTACACCATTTTTGGGGAATAAAGTTCATGTATTTTAGCGTCCATATTGATTATATAGCATTCACTTATGGATAATTAACTTCTTTATTCATATAACAAATATTTAAATCAACTAAGTATAATTGATTGACCATTGAATAGTGATTAATATCGTGTTTGTCTAGTCCTTTTTGTGCTCATCGAATTCTTTCAGTCATGTTACGATGTGACCACTAGTCTAAGTGACTTGATACCTGGTATGCTATCTTGAGATGTTCAGTAATTTGATTTAGTCTGTAGGAAACCATAGAGCTAGATTTCGTGAGATTTGACACTTTTCACCAAAGGATAACTACAATATTAAGAGAACTGATGTTCTCAGTAATATTCGAAGCGGCGTCACCCGTCTCCCAATCTAAGACGTTATCACTTGCTGACAAGTGCTAATTGACATGAGATCCAGGTCAAGTTTAGTTTCATGCAAACTACCTCCAAATATCTAACATTCCAACTAAGTAGTTTGATACACTTTCATTCGATTATAACCTTTTTTTTAAATTTGACCAAGTATTATTCATGTAATTCACATAATCAACTGGAACTCCCTCTTCTTGATCATTCTCATCAAGAAATAAGATTAACTTAGAACAATTAGTAGTGACTTGTAACTCCTTATCGTTGTAATTAGTCATTCCATATTGCCATATATGCATCCCATAAACACCTTTATGTCTACTGAAGAAATTGATGACTATCCGGACTTTGGCTCAGTGGATAACGCGTTGGGTATTTAGTGACAACTACTGGGTTTAAGTATTAGTGTAAACACTGGTATTTAGGTGGATCTGGCTAACGAGCTCTAAGTAGAATGAAACGCGTATCTCGATTTCCGCTGTCGGCCAAATAATAAAACTACAATCTTAAAACAACCTCTCCCATTCCTGGTTTTTCTTTATCAAATATATAATGAGAACTGTGGAAATATTGTCGATGGGCAGCAACATACCCACATGTTCTCTGGACGTTAATCCCTCTTCATTTATTCATTTGTTACATTTTTGTTTTGTGTTCTTAAAAAACAAACCATGACAAAAAAGGAATTGAATTTCGATTTGTCACCTAACAAAGAAAACACATTAACACAACAACAACACATCACTGTATGACCAATCAGCTCTACAACATCACTGCCAAATGATGGCATTAGTTACCAATATGAAAAGAACGCCATATTAGATTAAAAAAGTCAGTGTTTGTGTGTGATGGTTTTTATACCAAGAGTTCAGTGATGGTCAGTGAATTAGATGAGACAACTTATTTAGTAAAGGATCGAATAAGAATATACCTATATATTAGGAAAAGTTTGTAGAGTGGTTAGATTATTTTATGCTTCATAACACACTGGTGACTGTGTATGTTGTATATGTATGTGAGTATATGGATCAAGGGAGTTATGTTTTGTATCATGGTATACTATAATATAGTATTACCACATCTGTAAGATTTTGTAACCAACTAGTTTATATCTAAAGATAATAATCCAATTTGTATAAAATTGTCAACTAGAGAATGACTTACAAATTAAGTGACCACTGAACTGTTAATGTTAAGTGAAGATTTATTAATCTGATTTTATTCTGTCAATCACCTAACCAATTTTAAGTCACCTGGTGTAGTCACTTAGTGTAGATACATCAAAAAGTTGACAACGTAAGTTATAACTCACCACGTTCAAGTATATTTACTCAGCTCTAGGGTACATTTTTGTGTGTTTGTTATTATACTAATCGACTGCCCAAACAAGATCAGTTGGAGTATGGTTCGAGGAGAGAACTCAATACACGAATACTTTAATAACAAAGATGTCACTTCATCAAACGATACAAACACATAGTGTCAGTTATTTCTCGTATGTTTGTTGAGAATAGCGATGAATTGTATTATGACAGTCTCATCTTGATAGAGTGTATTTTCCCTAACAAACAATGATCAGGTTAACCTTTATATATCAGTGAAATACTCATTACATAAAATATTTCTACCTTACCCTATTGATTTAAAACAAGAACCAACTACTTTTCACGTTGATTATTAGACGTGTATCAAATAGGGTAAATCGCACTTCTTTGGATTTTAGGAGTTGAAACAATTTTACAGTTCGAAATCATAGAAGTTATCCAAGTCAAATAAGGAGTGACAAAAATAGATTCTAATTCTGTCTTAATAGGGTTAGCATTCCTTCAAAGCTATGAATTTAGTTATTAATCATTGATTGAATAATACTATGACTGATTCGTTTCTTTATTCCATATTTACACAATTATGTAATCCAAATTATTAATAAAACAAATTGTTCGGTTAAAGATTTCATATGACCCTAAATTAGAAGAGGATCAGGAAAACTAATAAAAACAGTATTATAAAAGTAAATTATTTGACTTACACTTGAAAAGTCAAATCATCCGTTCAATATTGAATTTTCATCTCTAATTCTATTGGTTGATTCAACATTCTCACTGCTCATCAATATATTTGAATGATTATTATTATTATTATTATCGATCATTGCTTGATTGTTATCATTACTAAACTGTAGCAATGACCAAGCTGATAAATTCACATCACTACCATGTTCAGACTGATTGATAATGTGTCTTGAATATTCCAATTTTGAATTAGTCATTGAATGATTTAATGAGACTCTTGAGTTTGGCTGTTTATCATTATCTTCATCATCAATGCCATCATCAGTAACATGAGTATTATCAGATATACTGATTTGTGTGTGTGCATCAGACAACAGATGATTCATTTTAAGATTAGAATGATTTCTCCATATTGTATTTGAATAATCCAGGGTTCGTGATTCGGGTATATTCGTAGGAAGGCGCGGAAAAGAAACTGGTAAACTACTATTTACCTCGGGAGACATAAATGATGAAGCCGATGAAACTGTGTTTAAATTTGGATCATGAAACTTGTCTACAGCAAGTTGATTAAATGCTAAGGACATATAATTTGTAGAAGAAACTGGTTGGAATGTTGTAGTTGGTGGTAACTCATGTTTTCTACTATTATTACCAGTATGTCGTATTAGTGTTGTTAATTCTTCTTGAGATATTCGAATATCATCTGTTTCTTTATTTATCCAATCTCTTGGTGATCTGTTAAACTTTGAATAGTGTTCTACTGGTGAACCTTGATACTCATCAATATAAGGTAGTGAATTTCCAGTTATTATGCATGTTTTATCGATTGATGGTACATGAATCTCACTATCAATAGGAGGACATTCTTCCCTAACTGTCCTGTTTTGTCCTAAATTTGAATATAACTCAGGATCTAATGTTTCATACGGTTTGTGATGTTGATGCTGAATTGAGACGGGTTGATTGTACATATGGTGATAATGATGATAACGTTTAGCATCAATAGTATTTGTTTCATTCAATAAATCGTCATTATCAACGACATCATCATCTTCATCATCATAGTCATCATCTTGTCCATGTCGTTGTTGAATATCTTCTCGAAAATTTTGATTAATATGACAATGTGTATGTGCGTGACAATGATGATGATGGTAATGATGATGAGAACATCGTCTTGGCGAATTATTGATAGCCGGTGTCATTGCAACCATCGCCGCGGCGGCTGCTGCTGCTGCCGCCACGGCTGAAACTCGTTCAGGACAATAGAAAGCGGTTTCGCTAGGTAATTGCGATGTGAAATATGAACCGAATTTATTGTTCATGGGGTTATTACCATGATTAGCACAACTGTTATTATTATTGACAGGTATGTTTATATTACTATTTAAGTTATTTGTTGTGGGATTGTATGCTTGATATCGATTTATTCTGCATAAATAAGGCGATGGATTTCTAAAATCGATAGTAGGACCAAAATAATCAGAATTATCATAATAATAGTTTTTATTATCATTATCATTATAATGAAAATTAACATTGGCTTCGTTGGTTAAACCACTTTTTAGAATTGGTGACTCATAATAATCTTCTATTGAGTTCAATTGTGAAAAATCTGTTGTGATTGCAGAATCAAATTCTGTACTATTATTATTATTATTGATTTTTTGATGAATATATCCTAAACTTGTATCATATTGTACACAATCAATTGAATTCATAGTAGTCAATTGATTCTGTACAGGATTATTTACAGAAATCGATAATGATGATGATGGTGATAATACTGATGTTAAAGTAGTTGGTATATTATGTAATAAATTTGTTGATTGAATCCACCAATCAGATGATGAAAGATGATTTATTTCACGAACAGTTAAAAGATTTGAATTTTTTAATGGTGTTATTGATTTTGATATTATTGAATTTGTTTGTTCTTTTATATGATTCCCATTAAAAAGTGTTGTTGATAATTGATAAGAAGATGTAGGTAATAATGATTCATTAGGATAATTCTCTGAACTATTTTGTGATAAAATTGAATCGATAGAATTTGATCGTGAATTTAATTTGTGACTTAATTGTGAACGGGTTGTATTCACAAATAGATTATTATTATTATTACTATCGTTGTTGCTGAGATTATCATGTAATAATTGTGTTAAACATGGTGATGATTTAGGTGGTCTTGATAGTAATAAACTCTCATTTATTTGTTGATTGATTAAATTCTCTCCAGTTTTTTCATTTCCATTAGGATGATCTACATTGATTTTACTATTATTATTATTACTATTATTATTATATAGATTAATTGATGGCTTATATGCATATTCTGTTTGAATATTTGTATCATTCAACGTTGAATTACTTTGTACAATTGATTCCAATTTAGGGGTTGAATAATTGTTACGATTTTCTTTGAAAACATTAGTGAAAGGTTTTAATTCATTGTGACTTACCTTTAAAAAAAATTAATTGAAAACTGGTTTAAAAATCACAAAATAAATCAATTTGGTAATGAGTACATTTATTGTAACGTATATTAAAGTGAATAAATTTTCCCTAAGTATGTTTATTTTAAGGAGATAGCTTATTATATAATCAATATTATTGTTAAATGGTTGGAAGAAATCGTCTGGATGATATATTTTACCTTTGCTTCATCCTATATAGCATTCATATAATTATTAGTAAGGATTTAAATTATTGAATTGTTGGTAATCAGTATTGAATTTTGATCTATCTTTGTTGATCCATGTTTTACAAATCCTTTAGAATAGATGAATCATTGCCAGAAACGAAATCCAGCAACTCAGCCGACAATTTATTGGAGTTTGAAGAGAAAAGCATAGGTTTCATGTCCTACTGTAAACATAAACAGCACAATGCAATTATATCTAGCTGGAGAGTCTTAGATTCCCCTTATAGTCACCATCTATTTATTATCAACAACCATATACCATTTGTCACTAAGGGGTATCGGAGACCGTGAGGAACCCATATTATTCAAGGATGCACAGATTTTACTAACGAGTTATTTAGGGGTACACTTTCCTAACAATTGGCAGCTAGGATAAACTCTCCGTCATCTGGTGCCTCCAACCATCTAGTCGAAAATATTTCTGAATCCCTCAGTAATTATATTTTTTCAGCTAACATACAATATAATGAATAATAAATAACTATTTGAATGGATATATGTATAAACAAAAAATAAAATTTAATTATCCCCCTTTTCAGGTGGGTGTAGTTCTTAGAATAAAAACTGTCATTTCTTACCATTTCCCTAAGTGTTTTTTCTGTATCTTTTCTGACGTTAATCAATCGACATGGATCACATGGGCAATTTCTAAATGGACAAGTTTTCTTATGTCCTTTCCATGTAACAGCTATTGAATGATTACGACATCGTCGACAATGTGGACCAGATGTAATTGTTTGTTTATCGTCCATCATTGTCACCATTGATCGTAATGAATTAGAATGAGTTGATAACTGAACTAACGTTGGATTGACTCTTTCATCACAAAAAGTAGGATTATGTAATCCAGTAGTACTAGATACACGAGTAGTGTTTCGAGTTGTAGTTACATTTTTATTCATTTTTGCCTCATCAATTCTATTTCGTTCCAGATTGGTAGCAGCAATAGGTAAGGCAGTTGTAGTCGTAGTAGCTATTGTTGTCATTGACGACGGTGACGATGCTACCGCTTCTGTAGATGTCTGTAACCAGTGAATGTTAGCAGATGCTTGTACACGATTCAAACTTGTTTGTTGTTCATGTGTATCACGTTGATGTGAATTACCAGTTTGATCACGATAAAGAGCTATTTGTTTGGCGACAACCTAAAGAGATAGAAACCCGAAACAAAAACTAATAGTTAGAAGTTTGAAAACAAAATTTTCTTTTCTAATTTAGAGAAATTGATTTTTCAGAGGATTTTTCCATTTATTTACACGATTATAAATTATTTCAAAGGTTTACTAGATGTGTTTAATTATAAACTTCAAACGGGGCCTTCTTTTTAATCATCTGAATGTGATCATAACATAATTTTAAGTCTAATGTTTTAAACTGATACATCTATATACTAGATTACTCTAATGGTCAAAAGCGGCTTTGCTGACGATGAAGAAAGAATTTAGATATTTGTGAGATTATTTTAAGGTTGGGCGTTAACACCGTTGGATGACAGATTAGTGGTCTAAATGTTAAATATTCGCGTGTAAGAGTGAAAGACTTGTGTTTGGTCTCCTGTATGCTGTGGTGTGGATGAGCACTTCTGAGGAGCCTAACACTAGGACGAAACAGCCATTCAATTCTTTCAGGTTTTTAATAGTGATCTAAGTCAAGTCGTTTCATGATTTCATTGAAATTCAACAATTTCCACCACCCCCGACTGAATATCATGACATTACAATATAATCGATTTGATAATATCGTTCGTATTTTACCTAAATAAAAAAATATATTTATTTATTCTGCAAAGGCAAATGGAGAGAATGTAAACAGAAAAAACAATAAACTTTGTTATTGTACACTTCAAAACTACTTATCTAGATGTGTTACAACCATTCAACAATCCGAAAAAGTTCACATAATGTCGAATAACTTAGACTAGTGACCTTATTGTAATGTAGTTGTTAGAATTCGATCACTAACAAAGTATTGAAAGACATAAAATTAGTCACTACTCAAAAATCGATCAATGTAATCATATAAGTTCTATAGGAAATTAATCATAATTCATATAGCTTATTGTTGATATCTCAGGTTATGAAAGTGGATAACCAATGTCTACAAGAGATTAAAAGTATATCCTATCATCAAATGTCAACTAACCCAAAACTCAAATCAAAAGTTTTCTATTTTGAACTAGAGAACTAGTTATGTCTTTTTCAATTTATCATCATCTATTCTATAATCATCATAAACCATATAAAAATCATAAATTATACTAAACTGCAATTTTGTACTTCAGTCATTTCTTTATTTTAATAAAATACCATTTGATTTCCAAATTAAACTTTTATAGAATTATATCAATCTTCCAAATATAATTAAGTCAATATTTCAAATGTAATCAGTTCATAATGTTGGTTATAGAATATACTCTATAAATTGGTATATAAATTACAAGAGACAAATCTAGAAAACATTCCCCACCACCACTATCACCACCACCACTACATTTTCTTTAAAGCATGTTAATGATTATTTTTCTGAACGAAAAGAAAAAACAAAATTACAGTTTCTATTTATAAAATAGGAAATTCTTAAAGAAAGAAAATTATATTAAATGAATAGAAAAAAATTAATCATTCTATTGATTTATTTATTTAATATAAATTATTAAATTAATAGAATGGCCATATATATTTGTAATATAATCTCTATACTGATACAATCCACACAGGTTGTACATATACTAAGATTGATCAAAATTTAGTCAAATATAAACAACGGGATAATCAAAAGCATTACAAATTAAGTCTATTTAATCAGTGTTCTATAGAAAATTATACTGTTCATAGGTATATTTCGACTTAATTAATTTAGGATAAGCTTAGAAGGAGTAGAAAGTGGTTTAATGTGATAAAAGAGTATCGGTTAGATATTTTTTTTGATTTGTATCTCATAACTTCAACAAGAAATTATAAATTAAACACAATTTATTAATCAGCGCTCAAAATTGGATTTTTATTTACGGATATAGTTTAAATATTTTATTTTCTTACTTTAATAATGTCGATAAATTGATACCTATTGAATAGTAGAATATTTGAGCTGACAATTAGCTATTTGAGTGTCGCTTGTGAAATCCTTGATAGGGTTGTTTTCATATACTTCTACATAGTTAAGTACTAGAATAAAACATCTATTCAGTGTTTTATAGTTTTTAATGGTAACCTCACAACACTTAAATGTTTGTTATTAACTCAATGAGTAAACAGATGAGATGTTTATCTTTGAATAATACACAAATAATTCTTTATTTAAAATATTATATTTATGTATGAATATCTCTTATTAGAAAATGAATCCCTATTTTTAGTAGGATTTAATATATTGAGATATTATTTTGAGAGTTTACCAAATGAGAAATTAATTAACATTATTCTTAATTAGACAAAAAACAAAGGGTTAAGCATTCTCGCACCAGACCAAAGGTCTTGGGTTCGAGTCCCGCGGACGAGATTGTGGATCTTGCACCCTTCTGAGAAGTCCCTTACTAGGAGAAAATAACCATCCAGTTCTTCCAGGTTTTCAATGGTGTTTTAAGAATAATCGGTTCATGATCTCAATTAAAATGTTGACAATCTCTACAACCTCATACTGATAATAAACAAAACGATGAAATTTTTTTATGTAAATAAAATCTACTCTTTGGGGAAATACACATAAAAGATTTATACACAATTTATCTATTAAATTGTACAATCTTAAAAATCCCTTAGAGAAAATGAATAAATTGTCCTTGTATTGAAAATTACAAGAGACAGATTTAGAAAACATTGCCCCACCACCACCACCACCACTACATTTTTTACAGTATCTTATTGATTATTTTTCTAAACAAAATTATAGTTTCTATTTATAAAATAGGAAATTCTTAAAGAAAGAAAATTATATTAAATTAACATTCTGTTACATTAACATTAGATAGAGATTAGTGTTAATTTGTTTGTGGGTTTTTGTTATTTCTTTATATATTGGTTACTTTGATTTTATTCTTAATAATTTGTATATTTTAATCGATTAAATCGAATACATATAGATTATCTTATATTATTTGTATAATGTTATGTGTTTTGTGTAATTTTCTCATGTATTTCATTAAAGTATATGGTAGTTCTTTACTTGATACGTAATATATAAAATGGATTAGTAAGAATGATAATCATATGCATATATTTTATTGCTTTTTTTCTCCTAAAAATATACTTAAATCCAAATGATTTACATTGGGATCATTATTATTATTAATATGAGGCAGTAATGGTAGGTGAATTCTTGGAAGGTTGATTAGTAGATTTTACAATCAATTAATTGAACAAATAACTGAAAATAGAATTTATTTTAAGTTAAATATATTATCTATATAGTAGTATGTTTAGGTTATTAGACTGAAATCAATCTTTAATATGAATTGAGATAACGATAGTAACTTATAAGCAGAGATAGATGGGGGTAAGCAGTAGAATTCAGGATGCGAATTTCATCCTATTTGAGACTTGTTAGTTGGATTTGTCTGCATTCTAAAGTTCTGGAGTGAACATCAACTCTAAGATGTAGGTATAATCTAACTGACGAGTTTCGAATAAGAGGAAATGCACATCCTAGATTCTACTTCTTGCGACCATTCATCCCTGTTTATAATATTTGTGACTTAAGGCAATATTAAGGCAATCCACATAGGTTGCACATACAGCGATAAGAGATTGATCAATTGTAGTCCTAAACATCAATGAGAAAATTAAAACAATCAATACAAAATTGTACAGAAAGTAACTTATACCTACATTTCCTTATCAAAATATTAAAGCTCTTTCTCTTTTATGTAATCCCAGCTAATCCGAAATAGAATCTCCCTGAGAAAAAAGATTTACTGATACAAACTGACTAGATAATACTATTTCATCATTGGTATCTGTTCACTTCTATACAAACCAGTTATGACGATTTAATAGTTGAAACAAAATTGTCACATTGAATAAACGTCAAAATCAATACAATTGAATATGATTATATTCAGCAAAGAGCAAATAAATGAAAATCAGATTAGATCGATACATGACATAATACTTGATTTCTCTGTTATAAATGATATTTAAGAATTTTACATCTCTATCAACCTTATATATGATTTAGATTATTTATCATAAAATTATCTCATGATATAATGAATTAAATATTAAACAATATATTTTTTAAAATTGTAACTGACTAAACTAAACTACTAATGGGAACTTGGAAGCACTGGACGGTCATTTCGTCTCAGTATGAGACTCCTCACTAGTGCGTATCCAACATCGACTAGTGAATTTAACTAGAAAAAAACTATACTCTTCACAAACCACCATTCCGATAATAATCATGTGTTCACTAGTGACTAGGTTCAACATGGAGCTCCTGGAGTTTCAGTGAGGAACCACGACCAATTAAGTCCAATCCATATCGGGTGTGAAACAGTTATCCACCTCAGACAATGAATGGTTGCACAAGATCATGTGTCGATTGAAGTTAGACATTAGCACCGTTAGATGTCGGATCAGTGGTCCAATGTTTAAATATTCCCGTGTTCAGTTTCTAGTGCGCAGGATCGTGAGTGTGCATTGGTGAGAGCTCCCATACTAAAACACAAAACGGCCGTCTAGTGTCTCCAGGTTTTCAGTGGTAGTCCAGCTTACATCGACCAGTGAATTCAACTTTGAAAATACTATTTTATCAGCAAATCCCGATACTGATTTAACTGATTAACAGATTAACAGCATTTGAGAATTAAAATCACATTGTATAATATATAAAACATTCTGACAAATATAGTATTAATATACTTTTAAAATAAGTAATATAATAATAAACAGAATGGATTACTCACTTTTCTACCTTGATCAACAAGATGACATTTAATACATTTACAATTTGTATATGGACATGTACGTTTATGTCGTTTAACTGGAATATTATGTCCATGTGTTTTACACTTACGACACATATATGATGCTCTTGAACAAATTGATGCTGTTCTATAATGATGAACATGATGGTGATGATGATGATGTGGATGGGAATGTGAATGATTACTTAATCGATTTTGTACAGTTGAACGTAACGGATTTCCATATTCTTTACAGTCTTTATTATCAGTCAAACGATTTATTATAGTTGAACTTTTTGTCGCAGTCGTAGTGGTAGTGGTAGTCGTAGTTGTGGTAGTAGTAGTTAGTGTACCTATTCCCATAGTCACTGTTGTTCTCGGATTTTGATGACGATGTGAAAAATTGGACGTAGAAGATTTTGATGCGTGTGTCGATGTGAATAATGACGACGATGATGATGATGATGTTGGCAAGTTAATTAGACTATTCTTTAAATTATTATTATTATTATTATTATTATTATTATTATTATTATTATCGGTACGAGTTAATGATGATTCTGATTCTGATGATGATGATGATGACGATGATATTGGGGTTTGGGTTGAATAATTCAATTCATTTTGTTGTTGTATAGAATGAATAAATTCTAAATTTTCTATATCATTCATTGATTGATGATTATGTTGAAGATGATAATGATTATTTAATTGATTAGTTAAATTTAAATGAATAAATGGATGATGGTGAGGATGATGATGATGATGATTAAATGTTTTCTCTAATAAATTATTTGATATTGATAACATTGAATTGATTTTATTTACTGACATTGTATTATTTATTGTTGTGTATACAAAATTATTTAAATTCAATTCTTGTTCATTTAAATAAGTATTATCTGAATTTAAAGGATGATTATTATTTGAATAAAATTGTTGTATAGTTGAATTTGTTGAAGAAGTTGTAGGTGAATTCTCATTAATAATAGATTCTTGTTTAAAAATCATTGAAGAAATTTCAGAATTTGTCATTTTTTTTCTTTTTTCTCTTTTTTTTCTTTATTCTCTTTTCTTTTCTTTTTACTTTAAAAGCTATATAAAAATAAAGAAATAATAAAAGAAAATTGAAATATTGACTTTGATCAAGTTTTTAAATTTATTTTTATTTTTAATTGATCTTAATTGATCAAAAAACTTTAAGTTATTTGGATCAAGTTGATTTGTTTAACTTTGATAGTATAATCGAGTAGTATTCATTTCATATTTCATTTATGCTAAGAATCCACTTCATTTCATATTTTATGAATATGATGAGGTTTATGTCAGGGGTAATTACTTTCAGTTCTATTAAGAGATTGTAACTAATGAAATTCAACAATATCAGTTAGAGAGCGGATCGATAGAAATATCACCAATATATATGTAAAAAAGTAACCCAATATCGCCAATCGATCGAAGTTAGCAGTATAAACCATTAGTTTTTATTGAAATCACAAACCGATCTTAGCTGGACAACCATTGAACACATGGAAGCATTGGACAGAAAATTCGTCTTAGTATGCGACGTATTAGCAATGAGAATTCAAGATCTCAGAAAATCAGACACATGACCTATGGTATTGGACCAGGACCCAATTGAGTACATGTTTAACTGCAATCAGTTCATGATATTGCTATGTCATTTTCCATTATTTTTGTTGGGTAACTGTCCACACTCGACACGGTTTAGCTCCACCTGTCACGGCTTCTCACTCGAATTCCGGAAATTTCTTTTCGAAGCTAGTCACCAGTGACCACATGATAGATATCAGTACAGGGTAGTGGAAACTGTTAAATTTTATTGAATTCATTATCCAATGCATCACACTTAGACAAATGAATTTCATCTTAATGCTTCGAAAGTCATGGGACAAATTCGAGGCCTAAAATTAATCAGTGCTATACCTAGTGAGGAATTTGATGACCATTACTGAAGAGTCCTAAACAGTTATCCAGTCATTATATGTGAAAATTATATTTGAAACAATCCCAGCGATTGAAATTTGAATAACTCCAACGTTTCGTCCAGCAAACTTGTCCAGACTTCCTCAGGTTAATAATCAAAATCATCAAAGAAATATATAGCGTTTAACAATCAAATCAAATTTATACTGTGATAATTCAGTCATATTTAGATGCTGACCTTAGCTATCCACCATATTTCTTGATTTATATTAGTTATATCAGATATCTGTAATCTTAATATCAGAAGGGGTTTTGTGGAGATTGTAGTAATTTCAATAATTGAGATCATGAGTCAATTGAAGCTAGACCACCATGGAAAACCTGGAATCACTGGATGGCTGTTTCATTCTATTGTGGGACTCCTCAGCAGCGGGCGTCCACATGACTGATAGGTCCTTGGTTTGAATCCCGCGAGACGGGGTCGTGGATGCTCACTGCTGAGGAGTCCCACAATAGAACGAAACAGCCATCCAGTAATTTCAGGTTTTCCATGGTGGTCTAGCTTCAATTGACTCATGATCTCAACTATTGAAATCATTTAACTAACACCAATCCATAATGTAAAACTTCAAAATCGTTTTTTGGCTTAAACTTTAAAATCTCATCAACCCTTCCTTGAGATTATACACTGTCTAATAGTAATTAGTATATTTTTAATTTTCTTGGTACTGACTAAAATTTATAAATTAGATCAAATTTTGCGAATCATTGCTTCAGAATTAAGTAAAATTGTGGTAGCATCCAATGTTTTTGTAAGTGTTCTACCAACTTAAATGCCTCTTATTTTTTCAAGAAAAGTATTGGTAAACAAAAAGGGATAAAATTAATAGGAGAATTAATCATGTTTACAGAAATGTAATGAATATTATACTGTACATGGTATACTAAATATATTGGCTTATTGTATTAGAATTTGTGGAGGAAAATTAGTCATCAGTTCATCATTATCATAGATCCAATTCAAATGTCACTTGCCTTAACTTGGTTTTATATTTTGGAAACTATAATTTCAAATATTCCAATTATTTAAGTCATTTGATGTAAGCAACCATATGTAATTGTAGTATGTATATGTTCATTAAAGATCTGAACATGATCAAATTTTTAAGGATTTGTGTTTGCCAGTCAAGCTGTACAATTATATAAATAATAAATTCGGTGAAAAGAGATCCCTTAGCTGAACTTCGTATTTTCAATGTTTAGATGGGAATTATCTGTTAAATGTGTATTTGTCTTGGGCTATTACACCCTTTTCGTTTGTTTTCCTTTGGAAAAACAAAACATGCATATTCGTTTCAACTTTATGAGACACTAAATTTTTAGTATATCACATCAAGCTATCAGAGTAAGTCAAAATGTCCTAACCTGAACCAATCACCCACCCACCCACACTTAACATTCTAATAAAAAGTTGCTTTTGTTTTTCTTTAAGTGAATACACTAAAATAATTAGAGATGATGGGAGGTGGGTGGGGTGGAGAAGGACTAACTGGAAAGTTTATGGCTTATAAATAACAGATCATCGTTTACTTTTTACCTAATATACACCCAGTAATAATAATAACAATTATTATTATATTGCTCAAGATAAATTTTAATGACAATTAAATAACTCAAATGAAAATCATTTCAAAAAAACAACAGGATAAAAACATTACAGTGAAATGGTGATGGCAGTCCACCCCCCACAAGAAATTTTATGACATAAAAATAAAATAAAATTAATGAAATCCTGTTGGTAATTTTTCTCTTGTTGCTTGTTTGTATTTCACTTGTCTCAAATAAATATTAAATTAGAAGGGGTTTTGTGGAGATTGTAGTTATTTCAATAGTTGAGATCATGAGTCAAATCATTTACAAAAAAATGTACATATATGAACTGTGTTTTTTATCGAACTTAATTTAGTTAACTGATGTAATAATAAGGTTACAGGGAGTGAGCGTGGACTGAATAGAAATATATATATATATATATATATATATATATATATATATATATATATATATATATATTAAATTTTTATTTCAAATAAACAGATATATTGGTTATGCATGAATAAATTTTCTGATGATTAACTTAATTAGCATCTGATTTTCATAACAGCGATTAATATCAAATTGGACTACTACTGAAAACCAGAGAATACTAAACAACCGTTTAATTTTGGTAGATGGTTACTAACTGTTGCTTACACTTCAGCTAGGAGATTGAATTCATGACCTTCAGATTTTGATAACATCAAATTATTTTCTGAACACTGATTTGTAGCCTATTAATTTCATATTTTCAACTTCAGTTATTTTCTATACATTCTAAAGATCGTTTAATACGATTTATGATGACTATTTGAATTCCAACAACTTTCTGACATCTATCAATCACAAATTATCACTAGAACCTCTGAAATCCGTTAGAATCTTTCAAGAATTTCTTTGAAAATTCTTTAGAATCTCGAAAAATCTTAAAAACACTTGGCCAAATCAGCATTGAATAAGAATTCTAAAAATAATGGATTATGTGTTATGTTCTGACGGAGGAAAGTTTTTCGATTATTTGGTGAATGGAATTTTCGATCAACAGAATTAGTGACTAGAATATTTATCGATATATAAACGTTATGATATGATGTGGCCAATGGATGGCTGCTCACGAAACCGATTTTATTACTAATTTTAGCCTGTTTCCAGAAGCCTGTAGAATGTCAAGGTCAACTGTAAATCTTCACATATTCTCGTTCCTTATACCGAAGGTTTTCTTTCTTATGCGTTCTACATTTTGTCTTTCACACTTGGTTGTAGTGTAGGAGATTCTGAATGGCTATTGAACAGTTAATGAGTCGGTACTAAGTTTTCAAATACCAGATCTATCAGACTCCGTTTTAATTTGAATACTAGTGGAAATTAACTTCAGTTATCGATGCATTTTGTTAGTGATTGACATTAGTTATGATTGAATATTTTTAATTTTGTTAAGAATGTGATAAGCATTAAATATCATATTTAAATGATTTCACCATATTTCTGAATAAATAGAGTTGAGAAATTTAAGACTATCGGTGATTGACTAAGTGAATTGAAAATATCATACTCATTACATAACTCAATTATGTTTAGTTTGAATTGAATAAATAATCTCAAACAAGATCAATCACTTAATTCATTTTTATATTGTTTGTTTCAAACTTCCAATTGATGTTAAGGATTAAAATTGATCAGTCTTTTATTGGCATATGTGCATCCCATGTGGATTGCCTCGATATTGCCTTAAGTCACAAATATTGTAAGCAGAGATCAATGGTGGCAAGCAGTGGAATCCAGGATGTTCATTTTGTTTTATTTGAAATTCGTCAGTTGGATTACAACTGCATCCAAATAGAACAATCGCTTCGAGTGTACTTTTCTTATTTGTATGTCTCTTTTCATGTATGTTCGACATATGGATTATTGAAATAAATGATAATAAAATACAATCTATTTCAGTTTGGTTCATTTAAAAAATCAACAATTACTTCTACAAACGGTTTCTTACAATTTATGCAATATCTTTCTACAGACTTAATGAAAAGTCGACTAAATTATGTTACAAGACAATGGTCTTATATATATAATGGTTATTATTTACCATGTTGGTGGATAAATTTAATCTCTAATAAAGTCAATCATTAGATAAATATAAGCTAGAATGGGGATTTTGTGGCGCTTATAGTAATTGTAATAGTTGAATTCATGAGTTGATCTAAGCTAGACCATCATTAAAAACCTGAAAGTTATGATCAGTGGAGTCCAATTCGTATTGGATGAAAAACAGTTATCCACCTCAGACAATAGATAAAGGGTTGTGCAAGATAATGTATTGATTTAAGTTAGACATTAACATCGTTGAATGACAGCTCAATGGTCTAGCGGTTAAATATTCACGTGAAAGATTGGAAGTCCTGTGTTCAAGTTCCAGTGTGCAGGATCATGAGTGTGCACTGATGAGGAGTCCTATACTATAACACAAAACGGCTATCCAGTGCTTCCAAATTTTCAGCAATGATCTAGCTTAGTTCGATTTTTATAAATTCAACTAGAATATTAGTTAACTC